TTATGCCTCTTTCATTCTAGAATGAACAAAAATTATAAACACAAAAAACATAAATATTTAGAATAAATAGCTTAAATCCCAACATTATACATTTATATATATTTATTTTTATTATATTGACCTTTCAAATACAGAAGTTACAATGACGCAGCTCACGTGCACTCGTGTTGCTGTATCAATTAACATAAAACTGACCTTTGGTCTGTGAAAAGTAACTTGTCTTGGCTGTGTTTTAGTAGACCTGTATTTTGTAAAATACAGTCAGTTTTCAATTATTATACATTATATGTGTATTTTAATTACTGCTATTTTGAAATAAGTTCTTAAAGTTATTTTTCCTAAAACATAGAACAGTAACTAAAGAAGTAATGCAAACAATTATCTTTTCTAGTTACGACCTTTGTACTCGGTTGCTGCTTGATGTAGTTTGTTAAGCCTTTAAAAATTTTGCATGTGGAGGATATGAAACAAGATATTATTTTTTAGGTTTTATGTATACATAAATTTACATACATTTTTTGAATAACTAAAAAATCATAAATTACTACATTAATACCATAGAATTCTACCATAATTTATTAAGCTTAGTAACTAAGATATATTTTACTCTAAAAAAAATATGAAATTTTGAGCAGACTAAAGACACACCCTACCTCATTGAAATATTGGTTTAAAAGAAAGAAATGGCGCCAAGTCCATTAAAATGGCCGAGAAAGCCACTAGGGGGACATTATGAGTTTCCGATTGGTTATTCATGTCATATGTAGAAGTAAGTGTATATAAGGGAGCATTTCCAAAAATGGAAAGAGATGGGTGGAGACTTCTAATTTAAACCAGTGCTGATTCAACATACCACGACACACAAAAATCGATGTTTATCTGTGTTTTTTAATATTTGCTTTTAAATTAAGAAATTGAGTAATATATAGTACTAAAATTTGAATTATAGTCTACAGTTTCATACCAAAGTTACTGACATAAATTCATGAAATAGTAGTTCAATAAAATATTGAATGCGAATCAAACAACGAGATGACATGGCCTTTCACCTGTGACCTGTCTTGAAAGGGTTAAAGTTAAGTTTATCATTCTTTAATGCCACATTTATTTTTTAATATTTACAAAAAAATATAAGAAATTTACAAAGTTTTATGTTTCAAGAATATAATATAATGACATTTAAAAAGCAAATAATAAAACTCTAGCACTTTTAACCATTTTCTTATTCTATATGTTTTTTTTCTGACATATTTATAATAATAATAATAATATATGTTATTAAAAGAATATGAAAGCCTGTGTACAGAATTATTTGTTTTTTCAGGTGTTTTGGTTGATTCCTCCTACTGAACGAAACCTTACCCTTTATGAACAGTGGGTTTTATCTGGAAAGCAGGGGGATGTGTTCTTTGGAGACACTGTTGAGAAATGTGCAAGGATTGAACTTAAAACTGGATATACTTTCTTTATTCCAGCAGGTAAAGTTAGTCAATAGTACATACACAAACCGTAGAGAACTTCTATTTCCAACAAGGTACCTTACTTCTGCTCACATACACAGCTATTCTTGTTTTGTGCTGCCCTCTCTTTACAAAATTTTGTTTTTCGCATGGTACAAGCCTTTCACTCCCATGCACTCCTCTATTCACATGGTTTAACTGATTCTTGCATGCAAATTATCGTGCAACAAATCTCCACCAATAGTAGTGCCACACACCCATAAATATCACTTTGAGTTTAGGCAGAAACATAAGCAACGGTTGACAGTGGTGGAAGGGACACTGGAGATGGGGTCCACATAAATTATTCTGTCAATATGGTACTTACTTATTATTAGGTTAATGTTTTTAAATTAAAGCTTAGTGATATACTTTGTCCTGCACAGTTGGATTAGGCTTAACAATTGTCTTTGTTTTTTTCAGTTTACCTGTAGTTCATCTTACAGGTAATTCGATAATTAGGTTCAATAACTTGTTTTCTTCAACACATAACATCTAAAGATATGTTTATTTCACTACACACTTTCTTAAATTTACATTATATCAACCATTTAATTTTATAATTCTTTATAATTTATATTTCTTACAGTTAATTTAGTTTGTAAGGACCCCTACCATCTCCTCCACCTGATTATGGCTTACCTTCTCAGTCATTTACTGTGGAATCTGCTAGGCCTACCTCAACCTTTTTTAGACACGTTTCACAGTATAATTTTCCTTTCCTTCTCCAGACATGTTTCATGATGAGCATTTTTGCCTCTCTTTAGGGAGAGGGTACTTACATGAGTAACAAATTTATTATTATATATTTATTTTAATATCAATGTTTGTTTAGATTAGGTTTATATTTAAAAGCATGTATAGCTTATACTGTTAAATATGTATTGCAAAACTCCCGCCTATTTTACAAAGTTGTAGAAGATTGTCGAGAGTAAGAATCAACAATATGGGTGTGTACATAAATGCTTGTGTTAGTGCCAGTATTGTTACATAAAACTTAAATTTCTAGAAAGCCTCCACACACCTATAAATATAACCAATGCGACATGCCAAAAAAAGAGAGTATCTAGTATTAGTTTGCTGTAAATTTTGGAAGCTATAACAGTAATTGTTATAATGCTTATCAATTGGAAAACTTCAGATATTTGACCAGGAGCATTTACAAAGTTTGAACATTACAACTCATCTAACTTCAGTGGATTCTCATCGGACATTAGTATTTGTACGAAAACATTGCATGACGTCATGGTGGAAAACTCTGTGTGTGTGTGTGTGTGTTGCTGATTAATTACGAAGGACAAAGCTAGCTAGCTTCCCGTTAAGCGAATTGTATATACATCAACTTGAAGCTAGCTAGCTTCCTGTTAAGTGAATTATACCTACGTCAACTTGAAGCTAGCTAGCTTCCTGTTAAGTGAATTATACCTACGTCAACTTGTAATCAACTCGCTCAACGTGAACCCTCAATAAGATATCGAAGAAGTTCCAGACTAGAAAGAAGACTTTATATTGCTTGCAAGTTTGTGAAACTTTTGTTTATAAATCATTGCTTGTAATAACTGTTATTGTAAATTGTATTGTTTTGTGTATATTAAAACGTATTTGTGTTAAAAAATAAAATAAAATAAAACTGTGTGTATCAATCTTGTTGGCAAATATCATAAATTAACTATATATCGGCATGTATTTAAATTATCAGTTAACTCGGTTTCAGACCATTTGAAATTCTAATATGTAACACATGCCTTTCCTTACACAGGCATATTATTTTCTTCTTGATTCTATGTACTTACATTTCCTGTCGCCTGCATGGGGGCAGTCTCTGTTAGTCCTATCCATTTTATCCCTCACCGGGCTTTTTATGCTTAGTCTTACCCTATAGACTCTCTTACAGGTCTGCTTACACCTCCTTTCTTAGACATTTCACCTATATCTAGGGGATTTTCATGGGATACTTCCTTCTTCACACCATTTTGAGGTGTTTGAGGTGGATTCTTTGCTTTTGGGATCTTCTAGGGTAGGACAATGTCTTGTGCAGTTCATTTACCATCTACTTCTAGTAGGGACTTATGGTAGGCTCTTTTTCTCCACCAGTCTGTTTCTTCAGGCTACTCCTATGCATTTAGCATCGTGTGGGGTATCTGCAATGCTATATTCTTTTTTTTGTTTATCTTTTGATTTATTCTGAGCCATTGCCATCTATTTTCATATTTCATGTCTGGTACCTACCCATCCTTTACCTGTCTTACCTACAGGTTTCTCCATTTGTCGTGTATACTCAATGCTGATTGGAGTTCTGGATCTATCTGCCCAATCTCAATAACTTCTTAGTTCTTCCCTGTTTTAATGTGTAGTCTTTGATCACAGTTGGGTGGGCAATTTTTGCAGGACTGAGTCTGCCCATGGTACACGTTCTTATTTTTCATTTGTCAGGAAGCTATCTTAGTTTTTTTTTCACCACATGAATCAGTACCATTTTTGCGTTTTACCCTTTGGACTTGTTTCAGTTCCATGTCTTTTTTTAAGGTTGTCTGTGTTTTACCCAACTTCCGCATTTTGGGGGATTTTACTAATGCCACTACTTGGATGTCTGGCTTCGTTTAGCTCCTTCCAAACGGGTGTTCATAACACACTCATTTGCTTCTTATACAAGCAGCTTGGGTGGTTGGATTTTCCATTTGGATAAGTCTTTCCTGTTACCTACTTAACAATTTTGTCTGTTTGGGGAGTGTCTTTTTAAACACCCATCTCTGTCGGGACAATCCATTCTTCTCCTCATATGCATATGATAGAGCTTTCTGTTATTCATGCCATTATGGTTAACTATCTTATTGCTAGCGAGCTTCTAACACATTGGGGAATGTGGCTTCTATGGAAGCACTTCTCACTTTGGGTTGGTACATTTGCAATCTCTTCCGGAGACCCTGCATGACCCATGGTCTTTTGCTACGGTTCATTCCTTTGAATTTTTCTCATAACTTTCCTCATTCCCTCTTCGACTATATGCGTTGGTGGTTGAACATATCCCCCATGTCATCAGGTTTACCGCTTCCTCCCTCTTGTCTAGATTTATTTCCCTTCCCTGATGCTCATTTCCAAAGTTGGAGGGCATGGGTCAATCAGCAGGAGACTTCAGGACAATGGTCTATGGAGGAAAGGTCTAACCATGTTAACACCCTGGCACTTCTGGCAATCCAACGTACTTTGGTTCACTTTCTTCACCTTGTCCGGATTTGACTAATCATATTTCATTCTGACTAATTGAAGGTAGTGGCTTATGTCACTCGTTCTTGTGGTAGTCAGTGGATCTCTCTTTTTGAACCCACACACTTGACATAAATCTCCTGGTGTGTCCTGTTCCAGTTGATTTCGTCCTCAGTGCAGATTGCCTTTCCAATCCCAACACACTTTCTATCAAGGAATGGTTTCTCAATCCTCAAATTTTCAGTGGTTCTGCCTCCTGTGGGTACTTCTCAATGAGAAGTATTTGTCTCCTTTCTCGATTCCAAGTTACCTCTTTTGTTTATGGTCTATGATTCATCATTCACTTGCTCTGGCTGTCAATACGTTCAGACAGGATTAGATCCAGTTTATAACTTTAGTTTTTATCAATCTATCAGTCTTCTTCCCAAGGTGATTTTTATTATCCATGGGTCATGTCTTTCTGACTGATCCTTCCTAGCCAGTACAGGTCTGGTTTTCTTGGCTGTTTTGGCTTGATATGATCTTTGTGTTCTGGATCGATTTTACCAAGTTACACTTTGGGGACTCATGTGGAGTATTATTTTCGTCGTTTTTCTTTTCTTGCCATCTTCCACCTTTATTCTTGGTCAGGTCTGGATGACAATCTCTGTCCAGCACATGCTCTAGGTTGCTTCATTGCTTTCAAGGCTTCTTTCCATTGACTCCATTTCCTGCAGTTTCATTCCCTTACACCACTCCTCTGTTTGCAATTTTTCCCCTTTCTCCCTTACCTGTTGGTTTGGCTTATGTATTGATTGACCCTTTATCCCTTGTCTCCTTCTTCTCTTAATCAATTCCTGGCATCTTCACTCCAATCAGGCACCTTGCCGTTTACCTGCATCTCAACCCTGTTGTTTGTTGGAGGTACTTTGTCTGTCAGCAATGGGACTACACCTCGTATGTTAATCTCCCAATATCTGCTTTGGGAAGCTGTTTCTTCCCCCTCGGGGTACCGTCTTCCACTCGTCTCCATCCTTCACTCTTTGGTGAGACTGCAACTTGATATGTTTTCTTTCTTTTGTTTTATATATTATTTTTCAGGGCCCTGTCTCATGTTTTGACCAGGATCCTTCCCCCTGTGCCGGGTGGTGCCTGTCCAGTTATACTTCAATCACTTAGAATTGTACAAAACCCTGCACTATACAGCCATGTTTACTTAACTTTCATAATTTCCATGGCCTTAAAATGCACACTATTCATTACAATCACATAAACCAGAGATGAGGTATTCCACAAGATCGCTCGCAAATTATTCCTCATGCTATATTTGATTCATAAATATCCCCATTCCAGACTGTATTAACCCATGGATTCCATGGGTGAAGCAGAATAAGATTACTGCCCATCCATTAGATTGGGTTGGGTCTGTTTTGCAAAATAGGGTTTTGTGGTTACCCATTTCAGTCTCCAGTATGAATGTTCCTTTGGACTTTCAACTGCATTTTTCTCTTACCCTGCTTCTTCTAATGGAGTACGAGTCCTTACCACTTTCCAGTTCCAAACTGCTGGGATGGAGGACCACTGAGATATCCTCCTGAATGAGAGATATACAATGAAAACAATAATAACTCCATTGAGTTGGGAGTAGGGAGTGGTGTTCTGCTGGTGTCGGTGACAAGATGTCCTCCAAATTGATGCTCCATCTCTGTTTGGGTTTTTCTGAGGGGATGTTGTAGCTTTGGAGTGAGCCATCATAATGATTTGGATCCCTCATTCTACCCCCGCATTGAATTCGGTTCCCAGCAATTGAGTTTTGGATTTAGAGCTGAACCAATCAACATCATGCCCTCACACATGTTGTGCGATTGGGATCCCTCGTCCTACTCCTGCATGGAGGATGGTACCTGGTAGTTAAGTTTAGGATTTAGAGCTAAACAAATCGACATGATGCACTCACACGTGTGCTGGAATAATTGCAGTTCACCCCTTTGATTGGGATCCCCCATCCTACCCCTGCATGGAAATTAGTTCCCAGCAGTTGAGTTTTTGATTTAGAGCTGAACCAATCAGCATAAATCCTCATACGTGTTCAGGTTATGTTGCAATTGTTGACTTGGGTTCGAAAGGATAATTTTATTGATAAGTGAGAGAATCTTTCAAGTGTACAGTACATACTTGCATATTAACTTTCAGAATTTAAGTAAAGATAATTAACTATTTCAACAATTATTAACTCCAGAAAAATATCTTATTTTATTTAGTTTAACTAGCAAAGAAAAACGAAAAAAACAACAAAAAAACTTCCAACTTTCATTTTTGTGAAGCTGTGTGAAGTCTCATCTGTAATCAGTTAATTTATTGATTTTATTTTTTGTATAATTTTTCTGCCCATTCCAAAGTATAAGCTTATATTTGCTAAGAAGCTATCATATGATTCATGTCTTGTTAGTTGTTTTATTACTACAGCCTTTCTTGCTACTCTATTTATGATAACATAACATGTGGTCTGAACATTTACCAATGAAGTTCATCTTTGAAACTGTCCCCTGTGGCATCAGCAGTAAATCTGAAGGTTTACAATGCTAAAACCATGTCAGTGAAATATGATATGACTATGATGCAAATCTGTGCACTTAGTGAGTTTGCTGTGAGAAAATTATCTATTTATGCTACTCTATTTATGATAACATAATATGTGGTCTGAACATTTACCAATGAAGTTCATCTTTGAAACTGCCCCCCTGTGGCTCAGCAGTAAAACTGAAGGTTTACAATGCTAAAACCATGTCAGTGAAATGTGATATGACTATGAAGCAGATCTGTGCACTTAGTGAGTTTGCTGTGAGAAAATTATCTTTCACCCCCCACCCCCCAAAAGAAGCTAACTTGCAATTCAGCATTCTTAGTTGAATTAAATTCTTTGGAGCATGGTATATTTTCTTTATTAGGGTTGAGGATATGTCAATATGATCATGTTTTTTGGCCCTTTAAAAAACATAAACTGTTTTGATTATTATCTTTACCATGTTTTTTATCATTTATTTCAAAATGGTGTATTAGCTTTTTTTCTTTTTGGGTATTTTAAAATAACTAGGAATAAATTCTGGAATTTGATTGTTATCTTGGTCATTATAGTACAAGTAGTTTGCTAGAACAGTGACAGTGTCAGGTGTTTTTATAGATGCCACTAGTGAATTGATCATTTCATTTAAATGCTTACAGTGAGTAAACACTAAAAGTTTTGTGGCACAACAGATGATTCAGAAAATTGTTGTTCTCAATCACTGACTGCTAAGTGTTTTTTACAGGCTGGATACATGCTGTTTATACTCCAGAAGATACATTAGTATTTGGGGGTAATTTTTTGCATAACTTTGCCATTGAAAGACAGTTACGAATTGCAGAAATAGAAGATGCAACCCATGTAAGATCTGTTTTTCATTGTTAACATATGTGTACACACTTGTGTATGCTATTACAGTTTTTGTTAAGCTACCAATTAAATTTTTAATTAGATCAGAGAATATTGTGATGAAATGTGGTAAGCCATATTTTATATATGGCATGTCTAAATGTACTGTATTTGTTAAGAGTTTTTGCATAACTATCCTAAAACAAGTGTCTACATGTAAATTGTTTTCTGTAATTAGAAGTGTAATGGAATTGGAACCTGCAAAAAAATTATTTTCTTTTGTGCAGTTTAAGTTTATTATTAGTGTTTTCATAGGTACCTATGAAATTTCGATATCCATTCTATACGGAGATGCTGTGGTATGTACTCCAACGGTATGCTCATTCTGTGATGGGTAAAAACCATTTATTGTGTGACGTGGATGGTGAACCAATCAATCCCAATGAATCTCCACCAAAAAAAAATGAAAAAAACACAGTGAAATTGGAACCTACATGTAATCCTCATGCAGTGTCTAGTGATACAAGAGAAATTACTGATACTAAGCAGTTGAACCCATATGTCAAGTTATCTCATCCCCATGCACCTCGAGTAACTAGCTCTAAAATGGATGGTGAAAATTCTCCGAGTGTGAATGGTAAAAAATTAAATGAAATATCTAATGATTCTAAGCCTATCGTTACACAAAAACATTTACTGACTTCTTCATATCGTAGAAAGCCTCCAACTGAGATAGCTAATGGAGAATTATGTGAGGAATCTGAAGAAAAAATTGTTCACTTGACCCAGTTTGAGCTGTCTGGAATAAAGGTAAAAGTTTATTGTTTAATTTTTTTTACTTGTTTGAGGACATTAGCAAAAGTAATATTTAACTCACAACAGAATAATCTATAGGCTTCTTTTAAAATGATTTTCATAACTGCCTTAAAGTATGTAATTGTAAAATGTATCACATTTCAGGCTGTCGTTAATTGGCTACAGAGGCTTCCAGCTAATAAAAAATGTGTTCCAGACTTAATTGCCAATCCTGAAGCTCTCCTACTGGATGTTAAGGTATTCTTTGAATGAATTTCAAGTGAACTTCCATTCTTATTTGATTTCTTAAACATTAATAAAAGGTAGTTATTAACATTTTGATACATTATTTTAAATATCAATTTAGCATTATAACTGTAAGCTTTCTAATATATTATATAATGAAGATATTTGATAAATTGCAGTGTAATAATAATGTATATGTATTTGATGTTCAGTTTAATAATTTTCATTCAAAAATAAAGACAATTATTAGTTTTATTTGAAAAGTAAGGAACATATCTGAATGCAATGTTAACAAAAGTACCTGATGCTTTGTTATTTTAATGATAATGAAAAAATGTTAGTTCTGTTTTACAATTTACACTGTTTGAATAGTGATGAAATAGATTCACTTCCTGTAACTTTGAAAGCAAGGAATAATCTTATCTACTTATAAATTTGTAACATTATGAATTTCCACGTTATGTTCCAAGAATATAAAAGTCCACATTATCCTAACAGTAAATGTGCAAATACACACTACAAGCATTTGATAGTTTCTGTAAACATATTTATTAGTTTAGTCTTATTACCATAAAAGTTTTGTGCTAAAACTGTTTTCAATCTTTTAAATATGTTTCAGATGTTACTCCAAGAACACAAGAATGATAATCCTCAGCTAGCTTGTACTGGTAAATTTGTTCTGTGGTGGCCAGAATCGAAGGTATAAAACTGATTTATTGTTGTTTGTATATAGATTTGTGCTTAGATATATTCTAGGTATTTTTCTTCAGTTTACTGTTAGCTGGTTTAGTGATTATATTTAAGCACCTTTAAATTATTCATAACTCTACTTTTGAATTTGTTTTTATATTGATTGGTGTAATTATTCATCTGTTATTTGTTTGATATAAAACTGTCTGTCATCAAATGATTTTATTTTTAATACAACTGGCATTATTACTTTGAAGAAGTTTTGTGTTTATGTGACAGTAATGATACTTGGAAATAATATTTAACACTAGATTATTCTGGGCTATGAAGAAACGGACTTAAAAGGTATTCATTAAATAACTTTCGAAAGATCTAAGGCTTATGAAAACAGTATTTTTTTTTTTAAGATATGGATGTAAATATGTAGTTATAAACATGGCATAATTGAAAATTGGAGTGAAAAAAGTAATTGATATCTTCTATGTCTTATGAAGAAACCAAAAACTAAACCAAGAACAAGCATCCCATCAGGTACAAAAGGAAAGTCAGGAGGGAAGAACAACAGTAACAACAATGCTAAGCGGAGACGAACACGCTGCAAGAAGTGTGAACCATGTTTAAGGTCAGATTGTGGTGACTGTCATTTCTGCAAGGACATGAAAAAGTTTGGTGGGGCAGGCAGAATGAAGCAGTCATGCATCAGTCGGCAGTGCGTGGCCGTAAGACTTTTTATGTTTTATTTTCTTGTGCCACTGAATGGCAATACAAAGTTTTAGTGAGGTGTAATGCAGTGGATTTTGAAACTGTACAGCAAATTTGGATAAAATTTTAGGCAGTTTTAGATAGTAACTCTACAAGTTTCAGTGAAATATATTTTTGCATTTGAACTCCCTCCTAAGAGGTGGGGCAATGATAAATTACAGGAATCCCTCGATTAGTGTGGTTAATGTGTTCTTTAAAAGAGCCGCACTAATCGATTATAATAACTTATATGAAAACATGTAATTCGTACCTCAATTTTCATTCTCATTCACAATTAATTTCTATTTTGCATATTTTTTAATCAAAGTATAGGTATGTAAAAAAAATATGAATAAAATGCAATGAATTAAAATTTATTGATCAGATTATTTTATGAACAAGTTATTTAG